AACTGTGACGGTTTGGCGTATTTTGCACACTCTACCTCGCCTAAAGAAAGAGTGCCTGGCGAAGCCGGGCCGTGATAAAGGATTAGCACCCGGCGACAGCCGGGTGATCCGACTGGTTCGAAATAATGTGTTCTTTTGGGGTCGTAATTTAACCAAAGCAAGGGAAAAAGTTCAAAGTCCAGAGCGATGTCCTGCCGGTGGTAAGCTAATTGGATTCCTCTGTCATGCATGCGACACTTGGTTATACTGCATGCCTTGATTGGAAAAGGAAATGGAAACTAGTTTCAGATCAATATCACTCCGGAGGATTGTGACGACATTCTTCATTTTTCGAAGACTGTTCTTATCCCTGGACGGCACTTAGATACTTATGGATGTGTACGAAGGCTTTTTAAAGATCAAGCGTTCAGAATCGTTATATCTTGCAAAAATGTGGGTACGATTCTTGTTTCCGTGCGGAGATTTTTTTCTTGAAAATCCTCAATTATTCAAGCATGACCTGTCCAACCACCGTCGCTATGAGAAACCGAACCCAGTTGATGTGTTGTTAGACGAGCAAGAACGACATATTCCGATGGAAGCTGCAACGACTATCATGAAACACCCGATTCTGAAGGTGAGAATAGTTCTTCTTCTGACACATATTCCTATAAGTTCAGAATTCAGGCCATGAAGTATGTCGAGGGGAAAATGGAAGAACAAGAGAGGAAATTATTCAATCGTCGGATAACCGACGATAAACTGACTTTCTTGGATAGGCTGCACCAGTAAGTATCGCTATAAGGCAGCGTTCAGACTTCGCGAACGAGGCGCTGCCGTTGCGGAGTCTGTACGCTGCTTAATATATGAAAGATTCGGGCCCATTCCTAGGAAACGGCTTTTATTCGCTATGAAGTATTATGATTTGAAAAATAGGAAAATCGTTATAAAGACAATGGATGTTCAATTAACCGAGATAGCCGAACTTCAGATTAGTGGCCTTGTTTTAACTTGAGCAATGTGAACGAAATTTCAGCATCTTCTGCACACTTACTCATGAACTTAACAACGTGGACAACTTAACTGAAGAGGTAAGTTCTCTGGCTGAGTAAAGTGTCAGCCAAGTACCGCAGAAAATTCGGTTTAGTACAATTTTTCCTTTACAGGATGTTCTTGAGAAGTGGAAAGACTCGGACACTACAACGTTTCGCAAACGACAACAAGGTTCGTTATTACCTCTATGTCTAAGGCACATAATGACACACACATGAGACATCTCAACGCATATCCAAGGATTTGAGTGGGCGTCAGTGAGTATTTCATCTGAAAGTGGCGGCAGCTGCGCTTTGGTTAAGTATTGCTGTTTTCGTCTAATTGTGGTCGTGTTTTTATCCAGCACAGTGCAATATGACAAATGTCTCGAACTTCAAATGTCTCTCAAAAAAGCCGGCAATGGGAGAAGCGACGTAACTGGGAATCCAATCAAGTTTACCCTAATCCAATTGTAAGTGTAGCGTTGTGTGTTCCGCTCGGATTAAAATACCCTCATGCTGCAACAAGCAACACTCACTATAATCGTAATCATGACGTTGAGGTGCGCAAAACCGTGCTGCTTACAGGAGTAGGAAAGCATGAGCAGGTATCAAACCGTCGTGATGGTGAAGCTGTTACTTTTTTTACGATGGATTGTATTGGTTTAATAGATGATAGATAATATTGATATGATTTTTCTTCGCGAGTACTTCTCGCTGTGCGGCTGCGTTATCTCAACTTTCTACTTCACTATATTTTTCTACTTCCTTCACAAATCGGTGACGTTTTTTGTTGCTGTTTACAAGTCATTTAACTATCTTTGCGATAGACTGAGGGAATCTATCACCTTCTTCCTTCGTTAAGGGAAAATTTTTTTTGCCGCCCTCACCCGGCTCCAGACCACCCGTTTCGATTTTATTGATTGACTACTATGGCAAGGGGTAGCAAGAAGAAAGTCGGTCCGTTTTCGCAGTCAACTTCTCCAACTGCGAAACTTCTCCAACTGCGAAAATCGCTAAGGTAGATGAAGTCCAGCGCACAATTCTCTCCAGACTCAGTGCAGTGGAAGCAACCCTTGAGGCAATGAAGACTCCCACCCCTATGTCCCAAAGCGCCTTGTATTCAACGATCGTGAAAGTCCGGGCCGATGAAACCAAAATCGAAGACAAGCTCCGCAGGATCGCTTGGATTGGGATTGGGGAGCAGAAGGACGAAATCGCGACCCGTAAGTTTGACCATGAGGCATTGAAGCAGGTTATAGAGACATCAGGCGACTCGGAACTGGCAGCGGAGTTTGCAAGGGGTGGCATCACCCTTCATCGCCATCCCCAAGGTCAGCCAAGAGGAGCGAACGCCAGGGGACGGATTATCAAGATCGATCTACCGACCAAGGGCTCTGAAAGACAGGTTGCTGGCTCACATGAGGTCAGGGCGGCAGAGTCTTACAAGAGATTTCGTTCACTCTTATGCTCGGCGTGACTATACGGAGGAAGAGCTTAATCTAGACAGGGACTTGAGAAGGCAAGCTGGAGAGCTTAACAGGAAAGCAGGAAAACTTACGTATGTTGTTCGAGACCTGGAGATACACAAACTGCGGAACCCAAGGGAACTACCGGCTTCGACGGTCCAGCGTGAGCCAGGAAAGTACCGAATGGCGTCTTCTAATGCTCCGCTAGGTGAGTCCACCCAGGACACCCCGGGTACGTCTTTTCGCGGGATTGCGTCTACACCCAGTCAGCGTGGCTCCGATTTGAGGATTGTTGATAACGTATACACAAGCCCTGGGATAGGCTTCTAGGGCCAGGTTTCCACTCAGTCAAGTCCCCCTCCGCGGGAAACAGCATCTCTTTTTGAATATAACGATAGATTCATTTTGCTAAATGCACGATCAATTAATAATAAGCTTCCTGAGCTACAGAATCTCCTCCTCACTAATCCCAAAGCCGTCTTGGTTACAGAATCTTGGTGTAAGCCCCACCTTATACACGACTCCACTATATCAGCGGGTCTGCCTTACCAAGTGTTTCGCTGCGACCGAGAAGGAGAAATATTGGGAGGGGGAGTCCTCGCCCTCATTCACAATTCGATCCAAACCGTTTTGCTTTCTTCGATGAATTTCTCATCATATATTCAGTGTTTGACCATTCAAATCACAGTTTCTTCGTTATGTGCCATTTTGGTTGTTTCATACCGCAGCCCTTCTTCTTCCATTGAGAGCTTTAGAGAGTTCGTCAATTACTTGGAGGAGCTAAGTCAAAATAAGTCCCCTGTGGTTATTGTTGGGGATTTCAATCTTCCTGGCATCTTATGGGAAGAGCCCGCAAATTTGGTTACAGGAACAACATATCCCGCAATGTGCACGCTATTTTTGAACTTCCTGCGGTCACATAATTTTGAGCAATACGTTGGTTCTCCAACCCATTCCATGAACATTCTCGACTTGGTTTTCTCTAACAACTCATCTCTTCTTGCTGATGTAAAGGTAGGGATCCCGTTTTCTACATCTGACCATGCATGCGTGTCATTTTCAATCGAGGGTGGAAGTCGTGAAGAGTTCTGGCCGAAAGTGATAAAAGACTTTGGCCACGGAGATTATGAAACCATTTGTGATCAATTGATGCGTGTTAACTGGCGTGATATTTTTGATTCTCTTGAGAGTTCCAGCTTGTGCTATGATGTATTCCTGAAATTTGTCATGAACTTATAAGGAACTTCGTTCCGTCATCAACAAAGACTTTCGCTTCAAGAAAAGAGCATTGGCGAATTTCGTTGCTAAAAGCTCGGGTGGCACGACTATACAGTAGTGGTCGGGGTTTGCGAGATCCAAACTACTTGAAAGCAGTCAAAAAGCTCAACAATAAATTGCACAAGCTCAAGGCTCGATACGAAACGAGAGTAGCTCTGTCAAAAAATCCTAAGCGATTTTGGAAGTACTGCTCCACCAGGCTTAGCGACGTCTCAAGGATAAGCACGATCATAGACCAAAACAGAAAGGCGTGTGCCTCTGATGCCGACAAAGCTGACGTTTTTGCAAGCTTTTTCAGTACTTTTTATCAGCAAAAGTTCATAGAACCAGCTCCTTTGACAGTTTACCAGGAAGCCAGACTCGACTGGATAGATATTAGCTGCGAAGGAGTTTACCGTGCTTTGAAAAGATTACCTCTCCGCTCGTCTACAAGCCCGGATATGCTACCTTATATTTTTCTCAATAAGGCGGCGTTGGGGCTCACTCTGCCATTAACGATTCTGTTTAATAGATTCCTCTTGAAAGGAGAAGTTCCTGAAGAGTGGCGTTTGGGGTGGGTTAGGCCCATACATAAAAAAGGCCCTAAGAGTGATTTCAGGAATTACAGACCAGTGTGTCTGACGTCCTGCATTAGTAAAGTGATGGAAAGAATGGTTTGTTCTCGCATTAATGAATACCTTGCCCAACATCATCTTTTATCTGCCTGTCAGCACGGGTTTGTTCCCAAGAAATCGTGCCTTAGCGCTCTATTGTCCACTATTCCGCTATGGCAGAAAGCAATTGATAGGAGGAAACCCGTATTTGTGGCATATATCGATTTCAAGAAAGCTTTCGATTCAGTTCCTCTCAACCTTTTGTTTTCCAAGTTAGAGACGTTCGGGATTTCGGGTTCACTTCTCAGATTCTTGGTAGCTTTTTTATCCTCGAGGAAACAAGCAGTACTTATTAATGATGCGCTATCAGAAAGCACGTTCGAATTTTATTTTGCGCGCGTTTTCTATGAGGCACACAAGAACGCTCTTCCTGCTCTTTACGGCTTATGTTAGACCGCTTTTGGAGTACTGTTCACCAATTTGGTCACCATATTCTCGCTGCTTAGTAGATGAGATAGAGCAAGTACAGAGAAAGTTCACCGAGAGAATATTTGCGCGAGCGGGCATGTTCCATATCACATATGAAGATCGCCTCAGATACCTTAGCTCCACAACACTTGAGATGAGAAGGAAGGTTATAGACTTCGATGTGCTATACAAGCTTTCTAGAGGGGATGTTGACGTGGACTTCGACGAGCTGTTTAGGAGATCTTCAACTATAGGCGTGACGCGGGGACATTGCTTCAGGCTGCTGAGGGAGAAGGCTCGTTTAGATATGTACAAATATAGCTTCACGCAGAGAGTCATATCTTTTTGGAACAGCCTACCAGCCGATGTAGTTAGCTCAATGTCATCGAGATCTTTTAAGAATAAGGTCAATAAGATTCTGAGAACACAGGGCTGGTACTAGGGGGGAAGGGCATTACGAAAGTGATGCATTTTAACTCAAGGACAGATGCAGGAATGTTTTTGCTTTTATTTGTCAGGAAGTTGTAAGCATCTGTGCTTGAGCTCTAAACCTTTCTTTCATCTTCTTTTAATTCCCTCTGATTTCAGTCATCAATTGCTTTCATATGACTCAGTTGCTGATTGTTGCTTACTTATGTTGCTTGTGTATGTGTTAGCAGTTTGACTCCTACTACATATGACTCAGTTGCTGATGGTTTCTTGCTTATGTTGCTTGCATATGTGTCAGCTTGTCTCCTACTAATGAGTTGTTTTATATATTGCTGTTCAATAGTAATTGTTTCCCTCCCCCAGGGTTTGAACCACTTCTTTCTCCCCCCCCCCCCGCTTCTACACACGCACCACGTTCGGCACGATGCTAAGTGGACCTTGGTGGAGTTGACGGACCTACTAAGATGGTATCCGGAGCCGCTCTTCTCTCCTCTCGCGACTTGCAGTGTTGGTGGGCCACTGCTCTGCACCACCAAGTGTTCCACTGCCTCCTCGTTGCCGCTCCCTTCCCCCGCTTATTCCGCTCAATCCATTTTCTACAACTTATTTCTATGTGCCGCTTTGTTTTATCATGCTGTTGTTCATTAATTGCATGCTGCCGCTTATCGGTCAATGTTTTCAATAACTATGTTGTGTTTTGTTCTGCTTTACTAACCGATAATAAATCATAATCATATGATACCCTCTAGCTCTTACAGGGATTCCTAATAGTGATATTGTAATCTATCACAAGTAGAGAAAACTTTCGAGGTTCATGTTGAAAGTTCTTGGCTGGTTCTTATGCAATATGTAATCCAACTAATATACTCTTATTCGCTGTGGACGATTGGGCGTGTCAGGCAGTATGAGTGTGTCACGCCATCAAAGCCGTTCTCTGCCTTCTTGTTGAAGCGCGCATGCGACAAAGTGGTAGAAAACGAGTAATACGAACGATATGATACAGTCATATCATTTGCTCGCTTTAACAACTGGTGGAGAACGGGTTTGGCACGCGCCAAACTCATCCCGCCTGACACGCCCAACCGTCCGCAGCGAATTACACTATACATTCAAAAGTAGCCGTGATATCATCACTCCTTATCCCTGAGAAGAAGTAGGCGTGGCATTCGAACATGGTATGGAAATTGCAATTTACCCATGGGATATTTCAGTTTGAGACAACTGTTCTTGTTCAGTGTTGGAAATAGACATGACAATGGTGTCAAAACCACGAAACTATTTCACAATACCACAACCCCGCGGTTTAATTGAAGTACGCAGCCATGCCTACCGCATCTTTGGGATTCGAGTACTTTTTTACGATGTAAGGGTTGAGCCGAATCAGACGTAACATCCGTTTTACAGAATTTCCAACAGCTCAAGCGATTCAGAACACCAAGATAAGGAAAAGTGAAGGTGGTCGTGGAAGGAGAAGGGTATGTCAGCGATAAACCGAAGGTTAGGTTAGATGCTATTTCTAACTAGTTTTGTGAATCGTTAATATAAATAACCTCTAACTCGATGGAACACCGTATACCGGCGTCTCCATCAAATTCTGATAAGTTGAACAATTCTCGACTCCTTTTGTTTAGCTCTACGTGATCCATGATGAACACATACTGAGGTGAATTCGGATCAATGGATATCCCACTACAGCAATACAAGCACTTGATTGTATTCCGAAGCTATTTCATGGAGGTTTAATTCGAAGTCTCGTAAGCAATAAACTTTAGGAGGAATCTTTCCCAACATCTGCACTTTCAGCTATCGTACGCACATCTTATTCCGGTGTCTTACGTGCATCTAATTGCGAATGTCTGGTGTACACCATGTTTGTAGTAACGCCTAGCTAAGTACACGAAAACTTGGAATATATGTGGACCTTTTGGTCCGAACATTTCTGCATTCGTTAATTTTCATTTTCTTAGATATTTCGAGACAATGTCTATAGACCTATTTTTATGCCAAAATAACGAAATCTACGGTCATAAGGCGTCTATTACTCCGGATTCTCCAGCTTTGCCTTGATCTCCTTCCACTGCTTTCCAGCGTTCACCTGAAATGCACCAGATTTACCTTAAATAAGATACCATCCACAAATTGTTCGTTTCACAGAGCAAGTATACGCCAGTGGTCACCCATGGAAATTGAGCGTAATCGAGTAAACTGCGATCCACCCTATGTCCAAAATATGACGTATTGATCTATGGTTTACAGAAACTATACTCGAGATCCCTGAGATCGGGTAGGCGGGGCCGCATTCTTCAACTTAACCTGAAGTGTCTATGCTTCTGGTGGAATATTTCCATCTTGACACAACTGTTGTCGTGTCTCTGTCCAACACAGAACAAGATGACAGTTGTCCCAGACTGGAATATTCCACGAGTAACCAGTTCCGTGCCATGTTCAAATGCCACGCCTACTCTGGCTCAGGGATAAGGAGTGTATTTCTGGTAGAATCGGCTAAAAGGCCAACTAGCAGCAAACGACGTAAAACATTTTGCTTCAATACGGCGCATTTTATTTTCTCGCATCAAACTGGCACAAATCTACACGGCCACGATTGACTTTCTTACTAGCGCCATCGGAAACGAAGAATGCACGGAAGATGTAGACACTTAGGAAAGTTTGGAATTCAGGGAGTTTGAAAACAGTGATACCCTAGGCAGCTTCTAAATTAGCTCCTATGGCCGATGAAAGCGCTACCAGTTTCATGTTTTTCCGATTAGCAAGACTACACCGTTACAGCTCGAAAACTTTTTTAACAGAGCCTGATGGACATGCGTGACAGTTTTGAGCCGGTACGTCCAACTAGTCAGCAATGACTCGAACATTGGTTTCTTCTTCACCATCTTTACTGACCATTCTAGCCCCGCAGATTTCGAAAAGATAAAGTGATGTAGTGAAGAGTACGAGAGACCATGTCTCATCTCGGGCTCTGTTAAAGCATTTTAGAATCCTATAACAGTGAGTTGCAAGAACTCGGCAAACTTAGTTAGTTGCTTGTAAACAAGAGTGACAATGAAGAACTGCAGCAGTTCTACAGGCCTGATCTGGAAACATTCAAAAAATCTGAAAGCGATTCCTTCATGTTTAATGGCGACTGTGAAGCTCTTGAAACACTAACGGTGAAAGAGACTGGTTAGCGTTACGCTATTAGGGATGGTGCGAAATGAGCCCCAGAATTATGAATTCGCTGGCACTGAACGCTGAAGAATTTTCGAAAGCCATAAGTATTGATGTGGTAGACTGTCCTTCTCGCGAACTGTTGCGAGTCGACGAATTCCCTCTGCTGATACGCATCAATTCACCACGTGGATTCTCCGAAGACGCCGAGTGTGCGTGTAGTCACATCCAAAACTGGTTTGCTCAGAATACACGCTCACATTATTAGTTAAGGAACGCTGCCCCAAAAAATATTGCAGAATGCGCAAAGAAATCAAGCAGTTCTAGTCCGGACTTGCGAGTTTTCGGGGATTGTGGGCCGGGGGGCATATGCTACCAAAGCAGATCCAACCGAAAAGAGTGACGCTAGCGTTAACGAAAGAACTGACTACGAGCGTGGTAATAGTTGTAATGGAAAGACCAAGGGAAACGCTGTCAGAGACAGTCTCTGCGCTCCCTCCTTCCACAAATAATTCGACCCACAATCTCTAAAACTGTTCCACTTTCGCGGCTGCTCAGGACGTAACGATGGCGTTGGCAGTTCTAATGCTGCTCAGCTGCCTCGCCCACGCAAACTCACGGGCTTCTCTTTGTTACAAGTTCACTTTTACATCGTGTTTTTCGTTTTCTCTCACTGTTACAGGGCATTAGCATTGTATGACGCGAGCAAACAAACCTTGAGGCAACCGCGACAGGATAATGCTTTGCTGACATAAAACGAGAAGGTCCAACAGCTCAGGGCTACAGCAAGGCTACCAGGGGTCCCTATGGTATTTTGCATTTTCTTTTGTGTTTTTCTTCTTTGGAAACTCAGAGTGACTACATGTTATTGAACGCCACAACCCACAATACACAATCACGGAGCACACCTTCAAAGTGGAGTGGGTTACACGGCTATGCTTTCTCTAACCAATTCAGCAGAGCGCAGACAACCACAGTCGCCACTGCCCAGTCTCGCAGATTCGCAAA